TCCATGCTGCTTAGCGTCCTGTTCACATCGACAGGCGGCAATAGTATTCCATTACTCTATAAAGGTAGAGACTGTGATATGTTTCCTCGTCAGCAGTTGTAGGTTACAACTACAGTAGATCAATTCCGGCACAAAGGCCACAGTATCCAAATAGAAATAAAATGTGCAAACTGATTAAGACTGAAGGTATGATTATTGAAAATGGGAAAAATCAACATTTCGGTTATTTCTACTTACCATTAAGTTAACCAGAATTAAAAGTCCTCAGCGCAGGTTAGTAAAGTAATTAGGAAATTGATTTTAATGCAGCACAAAACTGCAACGAGTTAGCCCTCAGATCAGTTATTTCATGCCAAACGAAGGTCACTATGCCTCAGTGGGTTCATTTTTATCTCTTGCAATCGATCCGAATTCAACTGAAGAATGTTGTGTCAAGAACACGCACGTCACGTCTAAAACACTGCCAAAAACGAAACATAACAAAACGGGAAGGTGAAGTGAACCTAGTCCACCAGTGGCCGTGCTTCAAACAATGGGAATTTTATCAGTTTATCATAAATTTAATGTAAAGGTTTTATCCTTAGCCATCCTCGTTTGTTGCTGTCAAGGAGCATTTTGGGAAACAACAGACGACGTTTATGCAAGTAAGTGATAGAGAAAACATGTCGATAAGTTAGCAGGTCTCATGTTGGACTTGGTTGGTGCCCTTGTCTGAGTTTCAGTCTCTGTCAAGTTCAGTAAAAATTATATAAGTTTCTAGCTTCTAACAACGACGGAAAGGGACGGATAGTTTACTTATTCTATTCCATTTCAAGTACGAATGCAGTCTGGCTGTATAATGCCTAAAAAATTACCTACATTCTAGTCACAGGCTTCTGCTACATTCAAAACTAAACAAGGCAGAATTTTGAAAAGCAGAAATTCAGTGCCAAGGTTAAAGATAGAGATCACGCAATGTAGATCAGAGCAGAAATCAACTGAAGTAGTAAATCGCAGATGCGGAAAACTTCAAAGCAGCGGAAGACGACAGAATGAATTGAAGCATGAGGTCAACGTGGTTTGCTTATACTCAGTATCCAGACCTATCCATAGTGTCATCATGTGATCACAAGACTTGGTTAACATGAAAATAGGTATAGAAAAATTCCAAAACGAAGAGCAAAAATTAAGAAAACGGAACGTCACGTTTTCTTTGCTTGTACAGTCAGTTTTTGTGCTTTCCAACGAACTGGTCAGAAAGAATTGCTCAAAGAATTCGTTTGCCTCTCTCAATGAAATCAACGGGTAAGGACGAAAATCCTTGTAAGCCACTTTCTGAGATACTTTGCGAGGACCATGTTGAGGAAAATGAGTGAGCAATAGAATTCACATCTTGCACACACAGATAGAGAATTTTAACGCGGGATTTACTTCGCCTTCACCGCCCGCTAAGCGGTGAGAAGCAAATTGGCACACATAACACACAGCTCTGTGCTACATGATGTGGTGATCTTATCACATAACGTATGTCTGTAAATAAAGTTATATATTACGTATTAGCCGTAAGACATGTGGTAAGTACTGCGGAGCCTCTACTCAGGGGACGCCTTTGGGAAAGGGACAGAGTCCCTTAAAGAGGGTTTTCCTTCAATAGAGGTAGTGGATACAAAGATTGTACATTATAGAGCCTCCATTTAGAGGACACCATCGACACCAGGACAAGAGTCCCTTTAATGGAATTTTCCTTCGTAAAAAGGCAGCTGCATTAAACAAAGATCGTGTCTAGTTTTTCTCTCCACTGTTTGAATGGAGTGGCCCCCTTAATGGAGAGACTTCACTGTATGTAATATTGGTCAGACAAAAAAAGTTTTTTATTATACAAATAAGGTCCGTGGTCAACGCTTTAGAATCCCCCGGGTTTTAAGACTGAGGTTCATTATCAATCGATAAGTATTTTCGATTCTAATATCAACCTCTTTTGTCATTTATTTACATTTGCACGTTTTGCTTGCTAACACAATGCTGTTAACTCAAATGCTTTGAGTACAGGAAAAATAAAGATTTTGAGGCTAGAAAGTGAAATAACAAATAAAAGGATTTATGCAAGTAAAATTCTTCTGGTCTTAAGTGTTTCAGACCATCCCACCGATCCAGGAAATACGGCAAAAACTGATGAGATACTTCCTTGACCGTCAAGATGACTCAAGAGGCAAGCGATATATTTCATATCACGACATTGTGTTCGTTCTCGACTCATCCAACTCCATAAGTGAGGCCGATTTCAATCTCAGCTTAACCGCAGCCCAAGGTCTGGTGACGCGATTTGACCCAGATACAATGTTTGCTGCAGTAACCATAAGCACAAATGCTTCCGTCAACTTTAATTTTAAGTCGACCAAGGTAAGAAAAACAAAGGTATAAACGGCCCTAAGGATTTGAGGTTATCACAGGTTGTTAATAATGGCAATAGGGTGTGTTAATCACAGACTAAAATAGCACAATGCCACTAGTGAGCTTAGCGNATCCCACCGATCCAGGAAATACGGCAAAAACTGATGAGATACTTCCTTGACCGTCAAGATGACTCAAGAGGCAAGCGATATATTTCATATCACGACATTGTGTTCGTTCTCGACTCATCCAACTCCATAAGTGAGGCCGATTTCAATCTCAGCTTAACCGCAGCCCAAGGTCTGGTGACGCGATTTGACCCAGATACAATGTTTGCTGCAGTAACCATAAGCACAAATGCTTCCGTCAACTTTAATTTTAAGTCGACCAAGGTAAGAAAAACAAAGGTATAAACGGCCCTAAGGATTTGAGGTTATCACAGGTTGTTAATAATGGCAATAGGGTGTGTTAATCACAGACTAAAATAGCACAATGCCACTAGTGAGCTTAGCGCAACCACAACGACGACGGAAACGGGAAAAACTTTGAGCAAAAAAACTCTGAACGTGCAACACACTTTTTGGCGGGTTTCTTTGCCGTTATTGCACGCTGCCGTTGTCAAACTTGATTGAAACGGTAACGATCGTCGCGACTTCGATTTCGTCGGAAATACTCATACAGAGGCTCAATTAACATATATTTAAATGATCATTCAGTTCATTCTTTGCAAATTAGGCGGTCTTGGTGAAGGATAGTAAACAGAGGAAAGTACTGCTTAGTAGCTTTCATTTAAATGGTCACACTTTGGATTTCACTCACAAATTCTTGAGTCAGGAACCTTTGTAAAGAAAAATAATCGGAGCAAAGTACTGCTCAGTATCAATCATTTGAATCGGATCACACTTCATTCCGTAGTTAGTGTAGAGGAGACTGGTTATGAAATCTGTCAAACGTCACAGTTGAAAGTAACGAGGCTGTAGTTCATGTCGGAAGCTCCCAGACCGTTTACAATCCTTTGTCTGCCCCGTACCCAGACGTCTCTCGCTCGATGAAAATTGGCGCGCAAAAGAAGGCGGGAAGGAGAAAACAGGAGAGACGGCGCTAAACCTCCCTTCTTTACCCTTCCCTTGGTCCCTTGTGCGTCGTCACCAGTCACTCGCGTTTCGCGCACGCCTCTTTGCCAAACCATGCGAAAGACGAAGCGCCTGAGGAGGAGGAGGTTGATTCTTTGTTTTTTTGTTCACAAATTGTGACTGAATAAATCAATGCAATGTTTCCGTTGATCAGAAAGTTCAAACGATGGGAATGCTATTAAACGTTGTGGACGGTCAGGTACAAAAAAGCTAACAAAAATATAAAAAAGGAATCTAACGGGTTTCATAACCATTCCACTTTAATAAATACGTTCATTCACAGCGGACCATACAAACGTTAAAGCACCCTTATCAGCATAATAAAAAGTACTTTGATGCACTTCAGGGCCTTATGCTGGCTCAAATGATAGACCTATCAAGTACTACTATACAGTAAATAATACCACATAAAAGAGGCCTGATTAAAAGCCCTTGTTACTTTTTTTTCCAGGCTGCTACTGAAAGCATTGGCAAAATTCAATATCAAGGGGGCAAGAAAAACATCTTAAATGCCTTAAAAAAGACGCTTAACGTGCTATCTCTGAACGCTGACTCGGGTGTTCGCGCCGGAAGTCGGAAACGTGTGTTACTGGTGACTAACGGACCAGATGACCGGAACGTGAATGATACGGAAAAGCTACAAAAGATCATTTGGACAGCAATACAGTTACGAATTCGAGGACCAGAAGTTTTTGTAGTGGTTGTTGGCCATAAGATACCAAGAATTGAAGAGCTTATTCAGATAGCAAGTTCGACCGACACACACTTCTATCGTGTATCTGATATGCTTTCTTTCAAACAAATAGTGGATGGGATCCCTGTTCATATTGTTTACCAAGAACAAAACTTGGGCAAATAGCCTTAATACAACTATACGGACGATACTCCACAAGACTTTGGAGACAAAACCACAAGTAGATGGCTAAAAAGATTTAGATTCCAGACCAATTTACTTAAGCGTTTTCAGGACAATTTGGAGTTTAAAGAAGCAAGTGCTGAGACCTAACGAACAAAATTTTCGTTTTTCTAACATACAACATTAGAGAAAGAGCTACTTAGTGGGCAACCATCAGTTACAATATTGGAGCCGCCCGAGGAAAACAAAAGTAACGTTCCTTCTTTGCCTAAAGGGATCCCTGACAAAACTCGACATATCGGTTGCCTTTTCACCAACAAAGAAATCCAAATTACTAACGAAATATTCGCAACTTTGTAAGTTGTGCTGCGATCCAAAAATGATACTCATTTCTCTGCATCTTTTCTCACCTACGAGGCAAACGTAAAAGGAGAGGGGGAGAGGGGTGAAAAACAGTCCCATTCTCTGCCCCCTCCTCTTTTTTGTAACTGTAACACACGCCACAACTTATAGACTTGTGACTTGCAGGGATACAAAATAAACGAGATCGTCTTTAAGACACCAGATGCCATGTTAAGAAATGTGCAGCACCTGGCGATGCGAAGCTACAAACCATATTGTAATACAATCAATACAAAATGACCCCCTCACCTGCATGATAGACGTCTGAGGGTTTCTCACGATATTTTTGACCGCACGTCCGGATACTGTAAAGAGCTAGCCACGAGGTAGAGAAGAAATAAAAAATATTCAAACAAATTATAATTGAGAATGAAAGAACCGGATTGTATCAACGACGCACGGAATTAAGGTAAAACTGAAGACGATGTAACGGGCACACTGTCAAAATTACACTAGAGGGACAAACTTAAGTGCATGTATCATAAAGATGGAAAATTTGATATCTTAACCAAAATTTATCATGGAGGTGTTCGTAATAGAGAGATGTCTGTATTGTAGAGAAAAGGATTACTGTGAGTGAAGTTTGGCATCTTTTAAGCCAAGAAAACTGTCGTCTGTATTATAAAGGCAGGAGAGATTTCCTGAGCAGTATCTTTGGAACCAAGCGAACTGTCTGTATCGTAGAGGTGCACGTAAAGAAAAGTTCAACTATACATCAATTATTTTCCTGAAATGGATTTTTCACGACAAACTTCACGAATACAAAGAAACCGCCACCCAAAACTTTGTAGCTGCTGCCCGTATGTAATGGTATTTGCTAGTCTGGGGATTCCATAGGACATTTTGAGGTGTTGAGTCGAATTGTACTATGGGATTGTTCTGTTCTTCTTTAAAAGGCTATTACAAGGTTGCAAAGGAAATATTGGGTCAAAATTCCTTCCCCAAAACAATCCCATACATCAGTGCGGGCACATTTCCCCAAACAGCGGCCGGTAATCGAGCCTAAATGTGGACATGACCAACGTAATAATTAATAATGGATTTAGAATGAACATACTTGACTACAAAAGGAAGTAGCATAAGTTATTTCCTTCTCTTTTGAAAATCCTACGGAACGGAGGCTAGTAGAGAATTCTTCCAGAATTGGTTGTGTCGTCTGCTGAATAATCTTGGCGTATTCTGACATCTTGAACAGTTCTGGTAAATTAGGTTTAAGCGAGGTATGCCCCTCTTCCATTGAAAGAACCGTGGTTTCTATGAAATAACGTTGATATAGAGCAAGTTTGGTTCAACCTTGAAATTGTTAGTTTACGCGCAAAATGACAAAACTAAAAAAGACAGAAAAACGTCAACGTATTGTTAGCCGGCATAACAGGCGCTTTAAGAGCCAAGCGAGGCGAAAGCGGCATTTCGCGCCAAGCGCGAGACGAAAGGAGGTGTATAAATAAAGCATTTTTTTTCTCCTCCCCTAGTCTCGCGCGAGATGCCGCGTTCGCCTCGCTTGGCTCATAAAGCGCCTGTTATGCAGGATAATGTATTGTTTTCAGAGCGATTTTACTTTGACCTCGAAATGATTTCCCACGAAACCAAACCACCACACCGACAAACGACCAAGACTATAACAATTTGATTGGTTTATCGAACGGTCACATACGCGCGGTTGCATTCATTTTTTTAGCGAGCACACGACGCTTTCTTCTAAGAAGAAAGAAAGCCAAATTAAAAACTAACTTGGGAACAGAAATCAGGCTTCCCATTGGACAATCGAACGATGCTTTTTCAGTCATAGGGTTCTCTTTGGTGGTAAAGCCACAAGTCCAAGTTTTGATTTGTTTTTTTGGTAACTATAGGCTGATAAGACAAATAAGGAACAATTACGAAACACATTTTTCAAGGACAAACGAAAATCGTTCCAACGTGTGATACTGTTTCATACTAACACTTAAGTACGGCACAGAACTGAAGAACGATAAGATGAGAAAAATTGTGTGCACAACAGACACTCCCGAAAAAGAGGATCGGTTTTGAATTAAAAAGCCTCTGCCGGTTCTCCACAAAGAGCATAGATATATACAGATGAGATTTCAAAGATTGATGATCAAATAATTAAAAAAGGCAATGAATTGGTTATTTCTTTGTACGAAGAGTATCAAATAACTTTAGTAAATAGAGCTGATTCCACCATTCGTTTGAAAATTTCAGTGATATTGTCAGTTCTCTCTAATAAATGATTGAACGACAATCATGAACCAAGAGAACTGGAAGCTACACGAGAGCCCCGATACCAACACTGCGATCAGCTGATGAAGAGCGGGACTGGCGCCAGTTGCTCAGAAAGTGGATAGCGCTAACACTCATCCACTGGATAGCGATTAACCCGGGCCTGGAGAGCCTCTTATTGCTAACTTTGCCATTTCTCATCTTAAGGACTGATCTGCTATGAATAAGGGTGTCTGCAGTCATACCTGAACTGTCAGTCAGCGAATGTTCACATTCACAAATAACATCCATAAAGAAATCAGCTGGATTGTTATGTGCCTCGCACTCGAACCCTNTATTGCTAACTTTGCCATTTCTCATCATAAGGACTGATCTGCTATGAATAAGGGTGTCTGCAGTCATACCTGAACTGTCAGTCAGCGAATGTTCACATTCACAAATAACATCCATAAAGAAATCAGCTGGATTGTTATGTGCCTCGCACTCGAACCCTGCAATAAAAAATTAAACGATTTATCATTAAAACAGGGAGAAATGAGAAGTAAAAAGAATCTGTTGCGACTCTTAAATTTATCTGCCGTTGCACAAGAGAAATTTGAAAAATGTACAGTGGACAAGTTACTAAATAGCCAACTAATGTTTTCATTTTCACAGTTCTAAGCCTGATTCCTTGACAAAGATTTTGTTGATGAAAAAGCCAAATCTGTGGACTTCTCTGCATGAGCCATTTGTCAAAACGACTATGTTTAGGCGTAATGCATTTAAAAAAAGTGTTATTTTGAGAGAAGTTAAAGAACATATTATTAAAATAAAAACACTAACTATTACATTATCCGCCCGATTGATTCCCCGTTAGGGTACATGAAATCCCAGTAACTAAAGAGAAAAACGCCTGACACGAAGCAAGCCTGCACAAGAGGCCACTAAAAAGTGATGCAGTTAGTTTAGAGCATTGTGAAAGTTCAGTACATTGTATAGCCTACCAAAAGACAGAAAACGAGTAAACTTCAAAATTTTATAAATTTATAATGAAGTAACCATGCGCTGGGTCCTTGGATGACACTCGAAGCGTTTTGTTTCCTTTTTTACCTACCCAACACATTGAATCGTTTCTGTCCATGCAAGATTTTCGGATAGTAGGCACTGTTGCAGCGAGTTTAGACGCAGAATGGGGACAAGTGAGAGGTGAGTGAGTGGAGTGACTTGATTTATTGAGTAATGTTAGCCTATTTCGCTACGAGGCTAATGATCATTTTGGATAGGAATGATATATCTATGTGCAATTAACATCTAGGTGTAATTAAAAATCTTCATAAACAATACCACATGGAGAGAGAAAACAGAACAACTGAAGAGCCGAAAAACCTCATAAATGTTGTGCCATTAAAACTAGCCGGCTTTTTTAAACATCATCTGGCACTTCAAAATAACATGTTTGCTGCTTCAGATCTCAACGTTTTTCTGCCTATTTTTTTCGCTGTGGTAGGCAAATGCATTTCCTTTGTTCCTTCTGTTACTGCCCCAATCTTGCAGCATCCTGTTTTTCGAAGAGTATTATTAGCTGAGAATCTCCAAGAAGACACTTTCTGGAGACCGCAACACCTTACCTATATCTTCAAAATATTTCAGTGCTTCATCCGCGGGGCCCTGGTACACCAACTCACCAACAGAGAGGAGAGTGATAGTGTCAAATGTTTTGAAGATGGAATAACGTGGCTGGTGAATAGACATGATAACTGTCTTACCACGTCGGCCAAGCCTAACAAAGACACAAACAACAAGGTTATTACATGGTCACGGTAATCGCCCCATACCCTTTGTAACATTTTGACTGGGAGGGGCAAGGGCATGTCCAGTACCCTAAACACGTAGAGCGCAATAATTATTCATTGAAAGCCAGTACAAATTATTTTGAATGAAAAAATAAAACAATTACTCCGGGTCTCGATCCTCTTTATCTCCTTATCCCTGTAAAAGTGGTCTTATGAGTTGTTTACTCTAATAGAGCTTCCTAGAAAGTGAGCTCAGACATAGCGAAATCTAGACGACACAACAATAGAGACGACACTGTTTTTAAGGAGATGTATATTTTATTTTCACTTAGTCTTTTAAGACCCTTGGCTACACTACATAGCGAGTCCACAAAGCTAAATTTAATCGTTGACAGAGTTTCAACCTGATAATTCTTGAAAGTGGTACTGAAGCATCTCGTAACATTTTAAAAGGCGGGATGGGGGGTGTCTTCACTTACCCCTGCAAAAGCTCAACCACAGATACAGCTGTAGAAGCGTCCAGTCCTGTAGTTGGTTCATCAAGAAACAAAACTGATGGTGACATTATCAGCTCCATACCAATATTAGTGCGCTTGCGTTCTCCTCCTG